TAGTGGAGGAAAAAGACAGCAAGAAAGAAAGTGGCATGCAGAATGTTTGAGGTATAGAGCATATTAAGCAAAGCGAAGCGACTGAGAGAGCTGGCAAAGAGGGAGCCGGAGCAAAACAGCCAATTAGGAAAAGGCAGAGAAAAAACAGTCAAAAATATCAGTAACCATCATCTCCTCCTCATACTGCTTCTACGGCTGCTCTGCTGGCTTCAGTCTTTGGTTGAATGGCAAGACCTTCATCCGCCATAAGGGAAATTGGATTGGCTGTATGGCAGAGGAACTGAATTTAAAAGGTCAGGAAGGCATTCTGCATAAAAAATAGCTTTGAAAAAAGATATACATGCCATATGTAGTAAATTTGTTATTAGCAGAAATGTATAAACTAAAACTCTGTAACAAGTTAGAGCAAATATTTCAAATTGAAATGTATTACACATACCTTTGAAAACAGATATCTGAAAAAGCTAACTAATCTTTTTTACAGCAATATGAGTATGGCTCTCAATAGTAATATACAATACAGTATGCTTAAATGACATTACAGACCCAATTTTGCTCCCACAGTGGAAAACTGGGATTTTGGCTATTTATGCAGTGACTGAATGGAGTAACGTTAAGCATTTTGTACTTAGGTTAGTGTAATGAATCCCTAATCAGTTGTGACTCTAAGTTACTACACATAAACGGTGATAGTTACTTGTTAATCCTAACATAATTCCCACTGTCATATCAAATACAGCAAAAGTGGCACACTTGTTGACAGCGTCAACAATGAGGTCAAGCAGTGAGCAGACGCAAAGAACAAACTATTTTATGCTCTAGAGGTGGTCACTGCAGTAGCAGGTGAGTAGCCATTACCATAATAGTTTTGCTCCTTTTTGCAATATCTCTTACACTTGTCATTCTGCAACCTTGCCCAAGCAGTACATTCACATGTATTTTTTTCACTTACAATAACATCAGGCTCAAAGGATAACATTCTAAGACGAAGTCAAAGGACAACAGTCAAGTGATTTTAAAGAAACCTCTTACATTACTAACCTTGCTTATATTTTGAAACATAACCTAGAACATGTATTACAGTTAGAAATCACAATTGGAGACCACTTGACTTTCACATACTCTGACAAAAGACCCTATTTCACCCATGGACAATGATCACAGAATCTAACTTGGTGTACAGTCCAGAACATGTCAATTAAAGTTGCCAGCTCTATACTTAATCTTCTTCTGAGACCTTAAAATACACATCGTAACAGTCTAATATATCTTAATGTAACAGAACTTGCGCAGTGGCTCATCCCTCAAATTACGTTACGCACGCATCCTTAATTTGGTCCACCTGTTCTTCAAAACAAGGTTCAGTAAGGATCAAAGGGACGGCACTGATTTCTTTTTACTATGTTTATTAACCATTTGAGATGAAAATTGGTTTATGTGCAAAACATTAAAACTTTCAATTACAAACTCACTGGTTTCGTTCACTATTTGTTATTGTTTCCTAATGTCTGGAAAAAGAAACTGCTTGGACAATTGACTAAGCAGTTACCTGGTTTCATGGGATTTGAGTCTGCTTCCTTGTAATTCAGTGGCAAAACTCTAGCTGACTTAGAAAATAGTAACCTCTTCATGCACCTCTACATGTTCTACTAAAATAAAGCAGGGCCCCCCTCCTCGTTACTCTTCAGCTGAGGAGGACTGCACCTGAGAAAGCAGATCTGGTCAGTTCCTAATAGGACATAATCCAGACAATTTTTCTAATTCTTTATAATAAATTCAACTAAATAAACATGATCACAAACAGCCCTATATGCTACGAATCATTAGCTCAAGAAGCAGGAACATCACTGTCAGAATAGGCTATGTATGGCAAATCAGAACTC